CGTGTTTGATTGGCCCTTCACTGGACAACAAAAGACTCGATAAAAATAAAAAAAAGGTTTGGTCTGATTTATTAACCCAACAAATGGCCTTATTAGTGGAGGGGCCCCCGTCTTGTAATGGTGCAGATTGGGACGGGTGACGGGACCTGGGACGGGTGTGTGGGACATGGGACGGGTGACGGGACCTGGGACGGTGTGTGGGACATGGGACGGTGACTGAGGGCGCAGTCCTCCTGTTTTTGTTTTGTTGTTTGACCCAAAAAGATATGCGCAGGCAACTAAGGAAGTATAAATGTTAGAGGGTCGAGCCATTCTCGACACACACACGCACACACGCACACACACACACACACACACACACACACACCGGGCCAGTAAATAGACTAATATTTCAGAGAGCGGCGGTGATATTCGTCCGGTAAATGGGAAATTCTGCCATTTTTATCCGAGTCAGTGAGGCAAGGAATTACGTACAAGTCATGAAGCAGTGAATTATTTAATGCGACTCAGTGAAGCAGTGCATTAGCTTTCGAGGCACTGAAGAAGTTTTGACACACTCGGTTGAGGAAGGTGGCTCCTGGGTGCCTCTTGAATTAGCGATGATACTTTATGGTGAGTGCTAATGGGGGAGACTTATAGGTGGTTAACAGGTAAAGTGATTTGTGATTGAGGGCAAGTGTGAGGGAAAGGAGAGTTGAGGGGGTTGGAATGGGTGGGAAAGGAAAGGGGTGATGACTTTTATTACCTGAGAAAGTGGTAAAATAACACAGGTGCCACAAAGTTCAAGATAACACATTATAACACGGGTACCAATAGCCTAAGATAACACACTATAACAGGATCATACTACAGTGGGTCTGAGATGATCACGTTACAGCGCTCTTACAAGGGATTTAGTTTGAGAATTACATGATTGAGAATATAAGTGAGCGTGACGTATGTGGTGGTGGGGGGAGGAGGTGCTCACTTGAGGGTATTCAGGTAGTGATGGTGGTAGTTGTTGTGGTTTAGTAGTAGTAGTGACTCGATAGATAGATAGATAGATAGATAGTCGTGCTTGAGGTATGAGAGTAGAGTGAAACATTAAATGGCGTACGAAGGAAGTCGAGACATTTACTGTGGTGGCTGACGAGGAGGAGGGGAAGGTGTGAGGAGAGGAGGGGTTGTAGAGGGGAGATGGAGGTTGAGAGGGGGGTGGAAGGTGCCGTAGGAGGGGCGTGTCTACGTGATGGGGGGGGGAACTAATTATGGGTTTGTATTATGTATTTGATGTTTAATTAATGGATAAAACACACACACACGACTCAGGTAAACCAATTAAGACAGGTGGTGATGGACAGGTAACGAGACTATAGCGTTATGTTGCCCCCACCTCTCCCTCTGGTGACGATTACCTGAAGTATTCTCTTTGTTGTTGTTGACGCCGCCGAGGGTTTGAATGAGGGGGTCTCTCTCTCTCTCTCTCTCTCTCTCTCTCTCTCTCTCTCTCTCTCTTTTCTTTCTTTATATCTTTTTCTCTCACTTGCTATATTTCTTTCTTTATATATCTTTTTTCTTTCATTTCTTTATATTTCTTTCTTTCTCTCCAGTTAGAGATGTATGGATGGGTGTGGTGTGGTGTGGTTGTGTTGTGGTGTGGTGTGGTTGTGGTGTGGTGTGGTTGTGGTGTGGTGTGGCTGTAGTGTGGTTGTGGTGTGGAGTATGGGGAGTGCCACTAAGGGTCACGGTGCCACATCTTTCTCTGTTGTGGCGGTGGAGCTGATAACACCACACTACACAGGGTCAAGTACCACCCACACCTCCCCCTCCTCATCCCCCCTTGTCTCTATCCCCTTCCTCTTCCTCCTCCCTCTACCCTCCCCCTCTGGTGCAGGTAGCTGGGCAGTGAGGATCAGTCCGACCTTAGTACTGTGTCTCTCTCTCGTCTCACTGGATTACTGCACACGTGACGATAAGTGTGTGGCAGACTCAGGGTGAGGTGGTGGAGAGGCACATGGCACAGTGACCACCACCTGCCCTTCCATTCACTCCCACTTGCCCGCCCCCAGCACTCACTCACCTCACCCGCCCTCCCACCACCACCTACCTGCCCTCCCCCCACTCACACCACCTTCACCTGCTTCACCTCACTCACTCACCTGCCCCCCCAACTCACTGCTGGTGACGACCGTAAGAATCGTGTTGGCGTCGTCTCCACCCGGTTTGTTGTGGTTTACGGTCGTAGGCGTTCGACGGCCGTAAAGTGAAAACAATATTCAGGTTTTTATTCGTACGTAAAAACAGAAAACTAGGAGAGAGAGAGAGAGAGAGAGAGAGAGAGAGAGAGAGAGAGAGAGAGACAATTCACGTCACAGCCAGTCCTGTTACTTTTGTCTGCTGACCCCCCCCCCCAGTGCGGTGTTTTATGGGAGGTCATATAAAAGTTATAATCGGTACCTTTTGTGTGTTTCGTATTGGGGAAAAACTTAAAGGATTTTTTTTCGTAGCGTCTAGGGGTTAAGTCATCGTACTCAAGGGGTTAAGTCATCGTACTCAAGGGGTTAAGTCATCGTACTCAAGGGGTTAAGTCATCGTACTCAAGGGGTTAAGTCATCGTACTCAAGGGGTTAAGTCATCGTACTCAAGGGGTTAAGTCATCATACTCAAAGGGTTAAGTCATCATACTCAAAGGGTTAAGTCATCATACTCAAGGGGGTTAAGTCATCATACTCAAGGGGTAAAGTCATCATATTCAAGGGGTTAAATCATCGTGCTCAAGGGTGCCAAGAGACAAAGCAGGTTCACTGGCACAATGCCAAGGTATTCTGTTGGAGTGTTGCGTGTTGTACGGACAGTATTGGACGGCAGAATGAGATTGTGTTGAGCCAGATTGATTCCCAATCCTTGAGGAGCCTCGTGGTACCTGGATCTTACCTGAGGAACCTCGTGGTACACCTGAGTCTTACCTGGGTCGTTTTTCACTTGTTTCTTCCTAGTATACAGTAAAGTGGCGGAGAGAAACCCCCATTTTTACATACTTGAGTCTCCCAGCAGGTTGAACGAGTCTCCCAGCAGGTGGAACTGGGTATAAATGTTTTGCAAAAATCTGTGGGTTTTTTACGACTGGCAAGAGGTGGGGTGGCAAGAGGTGGGGTGGAGAATCCATCAGGGTGAGCAAGAATAACAATGTGTTGCTGACGGTGCCAAGGTTTAACACAGCCGCTCTCTCGGGTCATAGATTTTCTGAACATTTGATTTATATTATATTTCATTATTTAGTGTTGTGTAAATTAAATAAAGTCTACGCAATATAAAACTATGATGTAATGTAATTTTTTTTGTGAATGGTTCAGTTTATTTTAATTTGTGTTTTTGTTTTTATTAATAGTTTACGGGAGTTATTTTAGTTTTGTTGTTTTTAATAATTTTATCATGATGTTTCTCCTACGTATACCATTTTATGCACGGCAGCCCTATTAGCTCTCTGGACCTAACCTAACCTGACCTGATATAACCTAACCTAACCTGACCTAACGTGATATAATCTAATCTTACCTCACCACACCACTCGTCAGCTTCCTAACCTAACCTGGACCTGACCTAACCTAACTCCACCAGTCAGAGTTATGAAGGTGGGAAGGTCGTCATTACCTGCAGGCGTCAGCTTCCCCAAGTTTCTATTTAGGAATTGGGGTCAGATCAATTAGTTAATTTGTGTCCTCCTCCGTGTTGTTGCTGCTGTTGTTGTGTTGTCCGTGTTGTGATTTTTGTTGTTGTCCTGCGTGTTGTTGTTGTCCTCCTCCGTGTTGTTGGTTTTTCTTCGTGTTGTTGTTGTTCTCCTCCGTGTTGTTGTTGTTTTTTCTTCGTGTTGTTGTCCTCCTCCAAAGCTGTCAAGTGGTTGTTCATGTTGTCCTCCGTGCTGTTTGCTTGTTGCTGTCCTCTCCGTGTTGTTGTTGTTGTCCTCCGTGTTGTTGTTGTCCTCCGTGTTGTTGTTGTTTTCAGATAAATGTCTCCATCACTGGGTTGACCTTCATCTGTGAGGGCGTGTGGTACTGTACACGTACTGTACTGTGATGCCTCTGTGTCCTTCAGCCTTGCACAGGATGCAATGGGGGGAGGTGCCCGTATAAAATAACCCCCCCCCCCATCTGCGCTATGGGGGAAGGGAGGGGGGCACATCTAAATCTGTACTGTTAACCCCGTTGCATAGTCCAGATTTAATTCCTTGAGGATATTGATTTCTCTCTCTCTCTCTCTCTCTGTTCTATCTACAATTTTCCATTTTGTGTATATTGACAAACTGGAGGAGAGAGAGAGAGAGAGAGAGAGAGAGAGAGGTACCATACACTCGCCAGTCTTGACACCATAGGCCAATTCAGTAATGGATCTGTGAGAACACTTTGTACCTTCACTCTCCCCGTGAACCAAGTGCTGTTATAAGGTGATGCTGCTCGGTGTCTCGGCTCCTGAAGTGTCGTCGACCTCAGTCTCTACCACCACCAGGGTCCTCATTATCATCCTGACACCGTGATAATGTGACACCGAAATTGTGTGGTGGTAGTTGGGTGGTAAATTGTAATTGTGTGACGGTATGTGTGGTATTACGACTCTAAGCTGTAGTAGTGTGACACTAAGCTGTTGTAGTGTGACATTAAGCTGTAGGAGTGTGACACTAAGCTGTTGTAGTGTGACATTAAGCTGTTGTAGTGTGACACTAAGCTGTGGTATTGCGACACTGAGCTGTAGTATTATTACACTAAGCTGTGGTGGTATTACACTAAGCTGTGGTATAGTATGACACTAAGCTGTGGTATAGTATGACACTAAGCTCTGGTAGTTTAGTATGACACTAAGCTGTGGTATAGTATGACACTAAGCTGTGGTATAGTAGGACAGCGTAATATAACACCCTAACATGATACTCGCTGGGAGGGGAGAACTGCGGCGGGAGAGAGGAGGCGGTGACGATGCGGGCGAGTTGGGGGGCGTGTGGCGTGCGCGGCTCTGTGTGTGTTGTCACTCCGCCCCACGCCACTCTCACGTGTGGTGGCTACTCCACTAACCACCTGCAACACCACCTCTACCACCTGCATACACTCACACTAGCACTTATCACCTGTGACTACTGAGGGAGGGGGGGAGACATTACCACTGACAACTACATCACTTCTCTCAGCTGCGGCGCCTGCACCTCTTGCTCCTCCTCCTTCAGCTGGCAACTGTGTCTGGCCTACCTCGTTTCACCACCTACAGTTGCACCACCAGCCACCTTCACCTACTGTGGATACCAGTACCAACATTACACCACTAGCTGCTCACTACACCGTCTGCCACCTACTGTATACAACTGCTCGTGGCCTGCCGTTCACCTCCCTGCTGCCTCGTGTGCTATCTGCCTCGTGTGTTTACATTGGTGCTGTGGAAGTGACTGTGTGTTTATATATCCTGTGTTGCGGTGAAGTGTAGTGAACTCGAAGTGTATAAATTGTGTTTTTTGAACAGACCAGCGTATCGTGACGTGTGTGTGTCAGTATAGTGTAGTGGCTACTGTGAGGTGCCAGCGAGTGTTGTATGGTGGTGATGGTGACACTGGAGGTGGTGTTAATATATTAGTGAGAGAAAATAACGTTGTCTTTTATCCGTTAATGAGAAAAAAGGTGATGTTACTTTAGGAAAATTACGAAGATATATTTATTGGTGGATGAGAAAGAAAAGAAGAAAAAAATAGTTGATTAATCATTGAAAGAAGTAAAATCATTATTACTTTATATATGAAAAAGGTAACGTATTTTCAGTTTTATTTGTGACATAAAATATACCAGCATTATTGTTATTATTGACACACAAAGACATGTACAGTAACTATTTATAACACACACACGCTCTGATCACAGTGTCAACGCTATTATTTACCGGAGTGTGACAAGAGGAGAATACCTTTGACGTGTGAGATAATACTGTGCTGTGTTACGGTCTCAAATGTTACGAATACTGAAGTGTTACGGTCTCAAATGTTACGAATACTGAAGTGTTACGGTCTCAAATGTTACGAATACTGAAGTGTTACGGTCTCAAATGTTACGTATACTGAAGTGTTACGGTCTCAAATGTTACGAATACTGAAGTGTTACGGTCTCAAATGTTACGTGTACTGAAGTGTTACGGTCTTAAATGTTACGTATACTGAAGTGTTACGGTCTCAAATGTTACGAATACTGAAGTGTTACGGTCTCAAGTGTTACGTATACTGAAGTGTTACGGTTTCAAGTGTTGTTACGGTCTCAAGTGTTACGGTCTCAAGTGGTACGGATTCATGTGTTACGGTCTCAAGTGTTACGGACTCAAGTGTAACGTTCTCGTGTTATGGCGTCAAGTGTTACGGACTCGAGTGTTACGGATTCAAGTGTTACGGTCTCAAGTGTTACGGACTCGAGTGTTACGGACTCGAGTGTTACGGATTCAAGTGTTACGGACTCGAGTGTTACGGATTCAAGTGCTCGTGGAGGGAGGAAAAAGAGTAAGATAAATTAATACAGTGAATCTCCATCGGTATTGTATCAAGAGGGAAAAGTATTGCTTGTTTTTTGGGGTGAGGCAATTGAACTGTTTTTGTTATGTTTTTGTAGTGAAATTATTTGTTATGTTTAGTTGTCGTTAAAAGGTGAAGAGTACTTATGATTTTTATTGAAGGATATTTATTTATTTTTAGTTATTTTTATTTTTTTTTTTATTATTTATTATTATTATTATTTTTTTTGGGGGAGGTTAGGGGACTTGATTACGTGTGTGTGTGTGTGTGTGTGTGTGTGTGTGTGTGTGTGTGTGTGTGTGTGTGTGTGTGTGTGTGTGTGTGTGTGTGTGTGTGTGTGTGTGTGTGTGTGTGTGTGTGTGTGTGTGTGTGTGTGTGTCACCACCTCGTACCAACAACAACAAACATTCAGGAAGACAGACAATAAGCTCACCTGTGATTAAAGGCTCAGGTTATAAGAGCATTATGTGTGGCACTGAGAGAGAGCCTGAGTGCCAGTCAACATATTTACACAACAAGACAAAGATATATCAGCTTACGGACAGGTTGGTTATACACTTTATTTAGGAGGGATGGCAGGTTAGGTTAGGAGGAGGGGTGGCAGGTTGGAGGAGGAGGAAGGATGGTTAGGTTAGGTTAGGAGGAGGGATGGCAGGGTGGAGGAGGAGGGATGGTTAGGTTAGGTTAGGAGGTATTATAGGATAGATAATAAATTGGTCCACACGTGTCTTAAGATTATGACTGTCTGAATGATCGTGAGTCTGTGTTAACTATGTATATATATCGCCTTTATTTTAACCCTATAGAGAGCTGACAACTCTCATGTAGGTGTTTTATTTTTTAACTATAGTAATCGTCTTGAACGTCTTCATTTCGGGGACGCCACGTTTAATAGGTTATTCTGCTCAGGGGGTGAGAGGGAGGACCTGGGAGGGTGAGAGGGAGGACCTGGGAGGGTGAGAGGAGGACCTGGGAGGGGTGTGGAGGGAGGAACCTGGGAGGGTGAGAGGGAGGACCTGGGAGGGTGAGAGGAGGACCTGGGAGGTGTGGAGGAGGACCTGGGAGGGTGAGAGGGAGGACCTGGGAGGTGTGGAGGGGAGGACCTGGGAGGGTGAGAGGGAGGACCTGGGAGGGTGAGAGGGAGGACCTGGGAGGGTGTGGGAGGGGAGGACCTGGGAGGGTGTGGAGGGAGGACCTGAGGGTGTGGAGGGAGGACCTGGGAGGGTGTGGAGGAGGACCTGGGAGGGTGAGAGGGAAGGACCTGGGAGGGGTGGAGGGAGGACCTGGGAGGGGTGGAGAGGGAGGACCTGGGAGGGTGAGAGGGAAGGACCTGGGAGGGGTGGAGGGAGGACCTGGGAGGGTGAGAGGGAGGACCTGGGAGGGGTGGAGGGTGGACCTGGGAGGGTGAGAGGGAGGACCGGGAGGGGGTGGAGGAGGACCTGGGAGGGTGAGAGGGAGGACTGGGAGGGGGTGGAGGGAGGACCTGGGAGGGTGAGAGGGAGGGACCTGGGAGGGGGGTGGGAGGGAGACCGGGGAGAGGTGAGGAGGACCTGGGAGGGTGAGAGGGAGGACCGGGAGGGGGTGGAGGGAGACCGGGGAGGGGGTGGATGGAGGACCGGGGAGGGTGAGAGGGAGGACCGGGGAGAGGGTGGAGGGAGGACCGGGGAGGGGGTGGAGGGAGGTTGTGTGGTGAATGGAGGAGATCGACACATCTGTCTCGCCTCGATGATCAGTCATGCAACACTACATCATTAATATTTATAGTGTGTGTGTGTGTGTGTGTGTGTGTGTGTGTTGACGGTGGAGAGGTTTTATACGACTGAGTCATGTCGGCCAAGGCTGTCCTCGGCAAACAATTTACAGGAACCCATTCACACACACACACCCCCTACCACACACACACACCCACACCGCTGAGAGTTTTGGCCCACTAGATTGGCTTCTACTTGTCTGTCCGCCCTATGTCTCAAACTGTTACAATAGGAACCAGTCAGTGAGTCAGTCTGTCAATCAGTCTGTCAGTCAGTCAATCAGTCAGTGTTCGTGACGTTGATTCAGACCTCCTCGAGATGATTGATAGCACTGGATGATGTGCTTGTGTAATATCAGTAGTATTGGTCATGTGATTTATTGGCCAGGTGACGTACGAGAACCAGGTCCTTGTGTTGTATAATGTGTACTAGACGTGTGTGTGTGTGTGTGTGTGTGTGTTTTAATAATTTACCTGACTCACCCCTTCCCCATCTTCCTGCATCCCGCCTCTTCCTTCTCTCCCTCCTCCTTCCCTCCTTCCCCCCATCCCTTTGTATAGTTATGGCGTAACACTTGTCTCTATAAAAACTCGCGCGTTAAAACAAATTGTCTTAATCGGAACTTAGGCGTGACGTAACTGGTGGTATTCGCCCATGCCTTTACTGTCCTTGACTCTTATCTGGGGCGACCTCACATCTACCTGGGCGACTCCACACTCACCTGGGCGACACACTCACCTGGGCGACACACTCACCTGGGGCGACTCACATTCACCTGGGCGACTCCACACCACCTGGGCGACTCACATTCACCTGGGGCGACTCCACACACTCACCTGGGGCGACACACACTCACCTGGGGCGACACACACTCACCTGGGGCGACACACACCTCACCTGGGGCGACACACACCTGGGGGCGATAATACACACACACACACACACACACACACACTCACCTGGACTGACATACACTTACGTAACGTCATCAGCCAATTAGAACCGTCAGACACACTGTGCGGAAGATAATATTTTAAAATTAATTTCGCTGAAAAAACCTGATTGGGCATTCCGAGGTTTTTTTATTTATTTATTTATTTATTGTTTATTTTATTTTATTTTTACTTAAAATTTTTTTATTTTTTTACGGTGAAGATGTCATCAAGGTCTGACGGTGGAGCTCCTGGCCATTAGGAAAGTAGTTAATTTTTCCCAGAGAGTTGGTGTTAATTTTTTTCTTGTGTTTAATGAATGTTTATGGTTTGTGCTGTGTTTATTATTGTTATTATGGCTATAATTATTGTTATTGTTATGTTATTGTTATTGTTATTGTTATTTTTTTACTTTTTTATTTTACCGGATTACACACACACACACACTCTCTCTCTCTCTCTCTCTCTCTCTCTCTCTGTAACGGTGAGAGGGTCGTAATATTAAGTTGCTGTTCATGAATAGGAGACATAGTATCGAGAGAGAGAGAGAGAGAGAGAGAGAGAGAGAGAGAGAGAGAGAGAGAGAGAGGACTGATTACTCTGACACCGGAAGTGAGTCAGTCTTGTTATTCTTAAAGGCTCGTGTCATAGTAAGTTTTCCCAGACGGGGGATTACTCTCATCGATTTTTGTCTTGGGTAGCCGTCACAACAATAACAACAACAACAAGAATATCAATAACACAAATTACAATAACAACAGTAATAACAACAACCACCACCACAACCATCATAGCAGCAACAACCACCACCACCGCAACAATCACTGCAAGCTTCCCAGACGACACTACCACTGCTACACGCACTGTCTCATATTCATGCGTAACAATACCCATAACAACAGCTACCAGACAACACAGTGTAATTCAGGAGTAGAATACAGTCACAGGGCCATTTGGACGCCATATTGGCTGTAACTGATGCCGCTACAGGAGTTGGTGGAGTGGGGAGTGTCTTGGGAGTGGGAGTGGCTCAGCACTGTAGAGAGGAGTTGAGGATGATGGGTGTGATACAGTACAGGCGATACGGTTAGGTTCTCCTCCAGATCTTATTATTTCTGCCTTCCACTGACACTCCACCAACACCTCGACCCCCCAACACTGAATCCGTAACATGACAACCATTACAACACAACTCTACATCAACACTGCCCCACAACACTGACCCTCCAACACCACATTTCTCAACACTGACTCTCCCCACACCTCCAACACTGACCCCCACACCCCAACCACTGACCCCACACAACACTATTTACCCCCAACACTTGCCCCCACACCCCAACACACCCACACCTCAACACTACCCCACACCCCCACACTCGACCATCCACAAACTATATAGTGTTTAATGCTCAGGTCATCACTCTAAATCTCAACTTTTCTTTAGCTACGAGAGAGAGAGTCCTATGGATGTATATATAACACGGGTGTCTCCTTTATTATATCAAAGTCGGCTCATTAACAAATGGTTTATCGTCTTCCTTTATTGTCCCGCTCGTAAAACACAC